CAGAGCCCGACATGGGGCTTGAACTCACGGACCGCGAGATCGTGACCTGGCTGAAGTCGGACGCTTAACCGACTGCGCCACCCAGGCGCCCCAATGATGGCGCATATTTCAACCCAGTAGACCTTTCTCTTTCCTCCTCTTACAGGCTTTCTCAGTAAATTTGATACACTTGACCATCTCTTCTTGAAAGACTCTTTTGTGTTTGTTTCTTGACTCCATGTTTTCCTGGTTTTCTTCCCCCCCCCTTACAAACCTGACTTCAGTCTTCTTTTCTAACTTTTCTTTCATAGGACGTCTGCATTTTGGAGTTTCCCAGGGCTTAGTCCTGCCCCTTTTTTCTCTCTTTAATTTCTTCTCAAGCAGTCTTATCCATTTGTATGGATTTAAGTATCGTAGCAGTTATTCATCCCAGACTCCCCTCTGCTACACGGTATTTTGCAGCCTACTTAATTAACACTTGCCAGTTGAACATCTTGCAACAAACTTTCCACAGTTGAACTTCCCCAACCCAGTTCTACTTTTCATTGCTGTATACTCAGTTGTTCACAACTGGAAACACAGAAGTTTTTATTCTTCCCATTCCTTTACCTGCCATCACTTCACTTAATACTGTATCCCAAACAGGTTTCATGATTTTTGCCATATCTCAATAGCACCAAGGCTATTGTTTACTTAATTATTTTAGCTTCATCAACTTCTCTTATTCCAAGGAATAAATTTAGTAAATGATGTGCAAATTCATGTGCTAGTTATATTCTTTCTAATAAAATGTCCACATATCCCAAATCCTATATGCCATCATGTTGACATGCTTTCAGAAACACTGCACCAACCTCCAATATATATATCGCATCTATTTTTCTCTGTCCATACCATCACCTTTATAGTCATCTTTCACCTGGACTGCTAGTAAAGCCACCTAAACAGGCTCCTTGTTTGCCCTCTTCTTCCCTTCCAACCCATTTTCCGTACAACTGGAAAAATGATCTTAAAATATAAATTAAATCATGTCCGTACCCAACTTAAAATCCTTCCAGAATTTCTTACTACATAAAGATAAAATCCAGTTTTCTAACCATGTCCCCCAAGGGCCCGTAGCATTTTACACTGTCTTATTTCATGTCACTTTGCTCCCCGTCCACCTTGGTAAAGCTGCGGTGATTATATCCCAGATCAAAGAATACAGCTCTTTCCCATCCATCTTAGGGCCTGTACGTGGCATTCCCTTTAGGTCACTTA